TTTATTTCTCCCACCTCTTCGGTTGCAACCGTTATTAACATAATGAGCCTATTTATTCCTTTCCTCACTACTGCTATTTATTTCTTCTTCTAAGATCCCCCTCTCCTCTTAATTTTCTAACGCTTTTCTTTCTTCTTTCCTTCATCCTCGATTGTAGATAAATTTTGTGTCTTTCTTGTATCATTGAGACATTTTTTGTTGAAAAGGTTGAAAATTGTACAATTAATTGTTACTATTCATCTATGTTATTTTATTTCTTCCACTTTTTCTTGATCGTAGTTTGGAAACATTGTAATTTTGAATTTTGAAGCCTTTCCCTGCTTTAATTACAGAAAATTAGAATACCATTATGCTTAGTGTATTATAAGTTTCTGATGTTTTCTTTCTCTTTTTTTTATTTCACTGATTTTAGTTTAGTATTTTTTGCTAGTTGATTAATGCTATGTAAGTTTTGACTGATCAAAATAAAGTTTTTGTCTACAATTTTAATTTTATATGACAAAGAAACGATGGTCAATTAGTTTTATATTTTTGTAATTTATTTTTATTAATTTGTGTTACACATAAACTATATAAAAGGATCTAACAACAAAATAAATTTCTTCAACTATTTCCTCCTTTTCCTATTTTCTTTTCCCTTCTCTTATTTCCTTTGATTTTCAAGTAGTGGTTGAAAATTCTGTCTCTATAAAATAAATTTTAGAAGAATTTTTTTGAAGAATTCCTTGCTATAGATTCTGGTCGATTTTGTAGCGCCCTGTGGAGAAAAGTTTCTTTCTTTTTGGTTACTGTTGGTGCATGGAGAATATAAAGTACGTTGTTATCATGCATTTTTTGACCTTTTATACCTTATTCATGGTCATAATTGATAATGCAATTTTGTTAAAATCTACTGCTTGTATACTTATCCAACAAAATTTTTGGTGTGACTGTATCCAGAGATGGCGCCAATATTTTTGGTTTATGAATTCTAATTCACAAATTTTTTTACTAACTTGGTTTTAAAATGAAAACAAAGGAGGTAATTATTGGCAAAAATTGATAGGAGCAAAATATCTATATATGAAGAGTGTTAAAATGGAAAGCAACTTCTTCAGAGTTTACGAAAATTAGCCGAAGGAAAATAAAGAATAAACACAAAATGCACATCAAATATCATGTACATAAATACTTATAGAAATATAGAAAACGAAAGTGCTATTTGAAAGATATAACCAAATATATGTACTATAATAGGAAAAATATATATAAGGATTCTAAAGTTTCTAAAAGCATTTAATGGAGTTCTAAAATTAGAAAAAATATTTTTCTTTATTATTTGTCTTCTCCTAGAACGAGAAGAAACTAAAATAAACTATTACAGAAAAATAAAACTGAAATCTAGCTTTTTGTACCAATAGAAAAATAACTAATTATAAAACATGACTATTAAATGAGAGAATAAAAATCAGGTGTGTGCGATGAATAGGTGGAGGCTTGTGAGGAATTAGGACGAGAGGTTTTAACTTTATTAATTCTGTAAGTATTCAATTGTTAATTATTATTTTTTCACTTCTATCCAGGAAAATATGTATTAACTTTAAGACTTTTAGAGAGTGTGTCGCCAAATCTCTTCCAAACACATTTATAAATATTTTAGAAGTATGAATAGTCATGATATTAGGCTATATAGATGATATTTACACCTTAATATTATCATACTTTATTGTTATTTTATAGGCGAATTCATAATAAAATGCTCTAAACGGGTGTTCTGCTTCGCAGGGAATAATCTAAGTGAGGAAGCACTACGGAGTGTTTTGGAGTCAATAATGAGAAGAAAATGCCCAACCAAGAAGTATCCGAGCATAAAGAAGCAAAAAAATGGACTGAGTGAATTCCACCGCGACCGCGGTGGAACCGCGGCAAATCAAGTACTCGAGGCAGAATGTTCAGCGTTCACCGCGGTCTTGCCGTGACCGCGGTGAACTATTCACGTGCCAGAAATTTGGGGACCAAAGTGTAACTCGGGAAAAACTTGTTCCAAACCCTTATAAACTTTAAAAGCTCGCCCAAGACATGGGGAAGCTTGTTTTTAGACTACTTTGGAGGCAAGAACAAGTGTGAGAAGAGTAACAAAACATTAGAGTTCTTCTATCTTCTCTTTATTATTGCAATTACCCATCATGAATAATTTAGTAGTTTTATCTTGTTTTATTATGCGTAGCTAATTTCCTAGTCTAGGGTTTTGATGGAACCTATTGAAGGATGAACTTCTTGTTATGTTAATATAGTTTGCCCAGTTTAATCTCTATTTGCTCAACCACGTTCTTGTTGTAGTTAATTGATAGGATCCTCAAGTAGTTGTGCCTATTTAGTATGCATAACTCGGGAGAGAGTGCATATTTAGGTAATTATTGAACAACACCACTCCCAAAGTATATGAGGGATCAATAACTGAGGGTTTAAAGGCGGGATTAGGGATAACGAAGCCTTGGGTGCAATCTAAAGTGAGCTGTAATAAATAAAGTCAGCTAGCGTAATTCGGGAGAGTGCGTCTAGTAAATTATCGTGATTACTCGGGAGAGATTTACGGTAATAAGAGTGCTCATAATTGATAGAGACTATTTGGTGAATCTATGTGAAATATAACCGGAAGGGATTCCATCAATAGGGAAATCATAACCTTAGAACCTTCTCTGAATTGTTTACAACTTAATCATAGTTAGTTTTCATTTGCTAATTTACTTTCATTATTAGTTAGTAGAAATACCCTCAATTGTTATTTACAATGTATAGGAAGTTGATTCCGTAGAATTTAGTAAGTCTAACAAAAGTAACTGATAGGTTAATTCCTTGTGGGTTCGACTCTGGGCTAAATACTCAAATTATATTTGCAACGTCCACATATCCTCTTTATAAGGTATAGTTGGGCGAGATCAAATATTAGCGTCGTTGCCGGGGAACTTAACGGTGTTATCAATTACAATTGAAAGAAATACAAAAATTCTTAGTGTAGTCAGTTTTCTCTACACCCAATCTATACATTGAAATTTTAACGTTTGTTGACTTGGTTGTACAAGTGCATTCCTAGAAACACATCGAGAACTGGTGAAGTATTTGAAGCATTATCAGATCCCGAGAGAGTTTTCAAGGCTTTAAATCGGGCCAACCGGAAAAACAAACAACTGAACAATTCGAACCAGACATGTGAGATCATGAAGAAGACCCAGCTGTATTAATAGCGCCAGTGGCACCTCTTGTGCCAGAGGCTGCTCTCTATGATTGGGCGCACCCATAGCTAAAAATCTGGCCACAACGATTTTAGTCCCGCAGATACAAGCTGAATCATTCCAAATCACGAATAACATGCTGCACTTGTTGCAAAACAAGGGACTATTTTTGGGGTCACAAGTCGAAGATCCTCAACAACACTTGAAGAATTTCCTGTCAATCTGCAAAACCCAAAGGCAGCCCATCGTAACTCCGGAAGCAATCAAGCTATTATTATTTCTGTTCTCAGTGATAGGAGTTGCCCAGACCTGGCTAAACTCACTCCCCATTAATTCCATAATAACTTGGGAGGAGTTAGTCAAGCAATTCGTGAACAAGTTCTACCCACCCAACAAGACTGCTCAACAAATTGATGAAATTTTGAGTTTCAAACAGAGACCAGTGGAGACACTGCATGAAACATGGGAACGATTCAAAGGGATGCTGGTTATATGTTCGCACCATGGTATTCCGGATCTGATGTTGGGGAAGTGGTTTTACATGGGATTGTTAGATAGCGTAAAGGGTAATGTTGATGCTTCAGCTGGTGGAGCATTTTTGAGCAAAACTTGGAGAGAAGGGAGTCTGCCTACCAAGATGGCACAGAATTCGGGATGGACAACCAGGAATGCACCTATCACTCCAATGGTTCACTCAGTGCCCTTAGATCCATCCAACTCTATGGCTGAAAACATGGCCACCTTATTGACACAAATGAGTATACTCACCAAAAAGGTGGAAGAGTCAGGGCAGAAGCAACAGGTACACATCGTAGATACTACCAATGGGGGCTTTTGCACATCTTGCATTAGTCAGCCAATTGGTAACCAGTGGAATGCAGAACATGATCATCATCACTACCCTGAAGACATGAATTATGTGTCTAATTATGGAGGCCAGAGACAGGGTGGTCAGAATTGGGGCCAGCAAAATCAGTCGTACAGGCCAGTCCAGCCACAGTTCAACAATGGAAACATGGGAGGTATGAGACCTCCTAACAATATAGCACCTTACCCAAGGCCACAGGGATATAACAATCAAAATCAACAACAGAGGTATCATCATCCTCAACAGCAGCATAGTGGACGACAGGAAGATGGCTTTGCTAGACTTGAGGCAATGATGCAGCATGTTATTGGGTCTAATGCAAAAATTAGTGAAAGAGTATATGCACATGATTCAGCTATCAAAAATATTGAAGTGCAGATAGGCCAGATTTCGATGTCTCTAAACAATCGTCCTCATAGGACATTACCTGTAGACACTCAGATAAATCCAAAAGATCAAGGACCGAAGCAACTGATGGTAGTGAGTCTACGGAATGGCAGAGATTTAGATGTAGAGAAAGAGAGAGCTCGAGAAAGCAAACAGGCTGAGACACTCATAACAGTGCTCATTGAGCTAGATGAGTCAAAGAAACTGACAGAGGTGACAGTCCAGCCTGCCCAGGAAGAACATAACAGTCAGAGTGAGATTGAGAAAGAAGATGAGACAACCCAGGAACAAGTAGTTGAGGTGACAGCTGATAAAGAGCAAACCCAAATCATTAGGAAGAAAAGACATCCCACACCATTCCCTCAGAGGCTGGCCAAGTACCAAAAAAAGGAACAATACAAGAAATTATTGGAGATGCTGAAACAAATCTAGGTAAATATCCATTGATAGATGCGTTGAAGGAGATGCCTGGTTATGCAAAAATGATGAAGGACTTGATGTCCTGAAAATTTGATTTCCAAGTCCTGGCCACAATGACACTTACTCAGACCTGTAGTGCGGTGGTGACTAGACCAATTTTTGAGAAGTTGTTTGATCCGGGGAGTTTCACGATTCCCTACACCATTGGTAATTTTGCTTTTGTTGAAACACTTTGTGATCTAGGAGCCAACATAAATCTTATGCCCGTGGCGATTTATAAGAGGCTGGGGATTGGAAGAGCTAGACCCACCTCTATGTTGTTCCAACTGGCTGACAGGACTGTAAAAAGACCCTCAGGTATCCTGGATGATGTGTTGATTCAGGTAGGGAAATTTGTGTTCCCTGCAGATTTTGTGATCTTAAACTGCAAGGTGGATGAAGAAATTCCCATAATTTTGGGAAGGCCGTTCTTGGCCACTAGGAGAGCTCTCATTGATTGTGAGACTAGGGAACTCAAGATGAGATTGAATGATGAAGAGATAACATTTAATGTGCAAAAATCTATGAGGCGATCAAGTGAATTCGCCAATTGCTCTCTTATTGATACCGTGGATGTAATTGTGGAAACTGATGATGAGATTCTGACTATTGAGGACCCTCTTACTGCATATCTGATGAATTTAGATGAGGTGAATGGAGAAGAACTGGCAGAATGGGTATTGGAATTAGAGGGCAGAGGATTCTAGGATAGAACTCTTGAATTTGAGCCCTTGCACTTGGAAAATACAGAAACTCCTCCAGCCAAGCCATCCATTGAAGAACCGCCAAAGCTGGAATTGAAGCCACTGCCAGCCCATCTCAGGTATGAGTTCCTTGGACCTGACTCCACATTACCTGTTATTATCTCATCTAGTTTGTTAGATGTGCAGGCACAACAACTCTTGCAGGTACTCAAGGAGTGTAAGACTATCATTGGGTGGACCATGGCAGACATTAAGGGGATCAGCCTGGCCTACTGTATGCATAAGATTCTGCTGGAAGAGGGACACAAACCTTCCAGGGAACACTAAAGAAGGCTGAACCCCAACATGAAGTAAGTGGTGAAGAAAGAAGTGATAAAGTGGTTAGATGCGGGAATCATTTTCCCAATCTCTGAGAGCAGCTGGGTTAGCCCGGTGCAATGCGTGCCTAAGAAGGGTGGCATGACGGTGATCAAAAATGATAACAATGAACTTATCTCAACACGAACCGTCATGGGTTGGAGAATTTGCATAGACTATAGAAAGTTAAATCTAGCCACCCGGAAAGACCACTTCCCACTTCCCTTTATTGATCAGATGCTAGACAGATTGGTAGGGAGGTCACACTTCTATTTTCTGGATGGGTACTCGGGGTACAGTCAGATCTCCATTGCACCAGAGGACAGAGAGAAGACCTCTTTCACTTGCCCATATGGCATTTATGCCTTTCGGAGGATGCCCTTCGGCCTATGCAATGCACCCGCCACATTCCAAAGGTGCATGATGGCCATATTCACTGACATGGTAGAGGACATAATGGAGGTATTCATGGATGATTTCTCAGTGGTGGGGAACTCATTTGATAAGTGCCTTATAAATATGACTCGTGTGCTAAAGTGGTGTATTGAGACTAACTTGGTTCTTAATTGGGAAAAGTGCCATTTCATGATACAAGAGGGCATAATCTTGGGGCACCAGGTGTCCAGTAAAGTAATTGAGGTGGATCGCGCGAAAGTTGACGTGATAGCAAAGCTGTCACCTCCAACTTCAGTCAAGGCAATCAGGAGCTTCCTCGGGCATATCGGTTTTTACCGGAGATTCATAAGAGAATTCTCAAAAATTGTCAACCCTCTCTATAAGTTGTTAGAAAAAGATCACCCCTTCTTATTTTCTGATGATTGCAGGGTAGCATTCGAGGAGCTGAAAAAGAGGCTGGTCACAACACCCATCATTGTTGTCCCCGACTAGGAGCAACCATTCAAACTCATGTGTGATGCCAGTGACTACGCAGTGGGGGTAGTGCTGGGATAGCAGAAAGACAAGCTAATGCATCCAATATACTATGCCAGTAGAACGCTGAGTGGAGCCCAGTTGAACTACACTATGACTGAGAAGGAGATGTTGGCTGTGGTGTTTGCTTTCGACAAATTCAGATCGTACATGATTGGCTCTAAGGTAATTTTATACACTGATCATACAGCTCTCAGGTACTTGATTGAGAAGAAGGAGTCTAAGTCGCGTCTGATTCGTTGGGTGTTGCTACTGCAAGAATTCGACCTCGAAATTCGTGAGCGTAAGGGCACATAAAACCAAGTTGCTGACCATCTATCACGACTTAAGGGAGCGGAAAACTCAGTTGAGGTTGAGGACATTCTGGAAACCTTTCCAGACGAGCAGTTGCTCGCTACTAGTTTTGAGGAAGTGCCGTGGTATGCAGACTTTGAAATTACCTGGTCAGCGGTATAGTTCCCTATGACCTTTTCTGTGTACAAAAGAAAAAGTTTTATCATGACTGCCGCATGTATTATTGGTATGAACCTTACCTGTTTCGAATATATGTTGACAATATGATCCGGAGGTGAGTCCCCGAGATAGAACAATCTTCTGTTTTGCAGGCATGTCATACATCGGTGTATGGAGGGCATTTGGAGGAGTCAGGACAGCTGCGAAAGTGCTAGAGGCCAGTTTCTTTTGGCCAACAGTGTTTAAAGATGCTCACCAATGGGTGAAGGGCTGCAATGAATGTCAGCGAACCGGGAACATTTCCTGTCGCCATGAGATGCCCATGAACCCGATTCAAGAGGTGGAAGTGTTTGATGTTTGGGGGATTGACTTCATGGGACCCTTCGTCAGCTCCTTTGGCAATAAGTACATACTTGTTGTTATGGATTACGTGTCCAAATGGGTAGAAGCTGCAGCGTTGCCCACTAATGATGCAAGAGTGGTGGTGGAATTCTTGAAGAAGAACATATTCACCCGTTTTGGGACCCCGAGAGCGATTATTAGTGTCGAAGGCACCCACTTCTGTAATCGAGCCTTCGAGAAGTTGCTAGCAAAATATGATGTACGCCACAAGGTGGTAACCCCATATCACCCCCAGACTAATGGATAGGTTGAAGTGTCCAACAGAGAGATAAAGAGTGTGCTAACCAAGACTGTGAATGCCACAAGAACTGATTGGGCGAAAAAGTTAGATAATGCACTCTAGGCTTATAGAACTGCTTTCAAAAACACCAATTGGTATGTCACCATATAAGTTGGTATTTGGGAAGGCTTGCCACTTGCTAGTGGAACTTGAACATAAAGCTTGGTGGGCACTGAAACAACTAAACCTAGACATTGAGGCTGCAGGCACAACGAGAATCACTGAATTGCATGAGCTTGATGAGATCCGACATCTTACTTTTGAGAGCACAAGGTTGTACAAGGAAAGAATGAAGAGGTTGCACGACCAGAACATTGTTGAGCGACATTTCAAACCCGGGGACATGGTATTGCTCTATAACTCAAGATTAAGGTTATTCCCTGGTAAGCTCAAGTCACGATGGTTTGGTCCATTTCGAGTGGTCGAAGTATTCCCTTCAGGGGCTGTAGAGATTGCCTCAAAGACTCTCACACATTTCGAGTCAATGGGCAGAGATTGAATCTATACATAGGCATGAAAGAACCAAAGGAAGTGTCAGAGACCCACCTGACGGAACCTCAGAGGTCGAACGAGCCTTAAATACTCTTGTCTGCGTCGTGCCGCGACGTTAAATCAGGCGATGCATGGAAGGCAACCCACGAATGTTGTTGTTAGTGTTTTCTTATGTAACTTCCTATAAAAAAAACTGCGCAAACCACCGCGACTGCGGTGGAACCGCGACAGAACCGCGGTGTGAGGCGATGATTCTGTCTCAGAACTAGGCAATCCACCGCGACCATGGTGGGATCGCATTAAGTCGTAAAATCGCATCGCCCAGGTAAGTAATTCGAACTTTTTTTATTTTGTTTTACTTTATTTTCAAATACCCCGCCCTCCTTTATTTCCCCAAACTCCCGACCCCCCTTCCCTAATTCTCCATCTCTCTTTTTATCTCTCTAAACCCTAACTCCCCAAATCCCTCTCTTCACCTTCTTCTTATTCACTCATACTACTCCCCCATCTCCATTCCTCTCACCCCTTCTTCCATTAAGGTATGCAACTAACCTCCCCCTATCTTTTCTTTTTGTATTGTGTGTAGTTATATGCTAGCCTAGTGTTTGTAATTGTGTAGTAATTTTTAGTAGATTTTTGTTAGTTTTCTTCTTGTTTTCTTTTGAAATTCGTTTTTAGACTTACTGGTAAAGGGGCTGTGTGTATAATGTGGTGGAAAGGTGTATGTTTGTGGGTATTGAATGAAGTGTCGTGGGGTGTGATGATGTAGTAGAATCTTTAATTTGAGGGAAGCTTTGATGTATCCATATGGGTTGTGTATGAAGAAATTGTCTTGCCCACAAGGTGTTTGGGAAATTGTCCCAATGGAGTTATAAGGGCTAATGTGACATGGTTGTGGTGAAGTATGAGTAACCACCCATAGTCACACATTTCACACACTCACTGATAGGCGTTTCTCTTTTTGATAGGTACAATGAATCCATCTAGGAAGAGACGCAACATCGGGTCCTCCGCTAGTAGATTGGGAAGTTCCTCGAGGGCCAGGGGTCAAGCCAGTGAACCACAGTTTGACAACACCAGGTTTGTCTCCAACCGGCGGAGGATAGGTACAATGCAAAGGCAGCTAAGAAATTGTTATATGAGGTGCATATTGACCGAGAAGCCTTAGAGGTGGAATGCCCGAATATCTTTAATGAGTTGAGGAGGTTTCAGCTGGACATCCTCTTCGAGGTACTGGAAGAAGCCAATGTTTAGATGGTAAAGGAGTTCTATGCTAACTGCCCGGAACATGAGAATGGGGTTGTTACTGTGCGCAATACCCGGGTAAATGCATCCAACGAGGCTATCCACAGGGTGTACCGGCTACCAGTGTTCAGGGGGGAAGCTGATGCTTATCGTACCTTTAGCCGATCAAGTTCCTTGTGGGCAACCCTTTTTGAAACTATCTATGTGCCAGACAGAGACTACATATGGATAAAGAACATGATCACACTTAACTCCCAGTCTCTCAATTGGAAGGTTAAGTGTTGGCTAACAATTATCAACAGTCGGCTGTTGCCCTCCAGCAATACGACCGATGTCAATCTACCACGAGCGGCGGTGATCTACAGCTTCATGGCCCACAAGGATTTTGATGTGGCCCGGCTCCTCCATGACGAGATGCTCATTAGATCACCTGAGTTGCTCAAAGGCTTCTACTTTCCTTCTCTAGTCACCAGGCTGTGCTGTCTTTCTAAGGTCCCTGAATACCCTAGAGTTGATGGGAAATTGCCACTGAAAGCCCCGTTCTTCGCAAGAAAAATCAGAATTGGGATAGAGCCGGTGGTGAATGTTGATGAATCGGATGATGAATCTGATGATTATGATGCTTAGGCAGCTGAGATCACACCACCTACAAGAGTTGATGAGGCGGGCCCTTCACATCCCCGCCGTACTACCCGTATGACAGCCCTGGAGTAGGATATGGCTGGTCTCCGCACTTCTGTCACAGACTTGGGCACTAGAGTTGAGACTCTGACCACTCAACAAGCGGGATAAGAAGATTATGGGATGGCTTCGAGCGCTAGGACGAGCATGTCACCTCAATCCTGGCACCGTCTCTGATCAGGATTGATCTTTAGGGAAGTCCCCCTCCTTACTCTGCTCTTTATTTGTTGACATAGGGACATGCCATATTTTTAATTGTGGGGTGGGGGATGGCTGTTGTTGTATAATGTTATTGTAAAGAGATTGTGTAATTTTTTATACCGTTGCTTTATTTTTGTTGCTTTACTTTTGATTGATTGGTAGGGTAGGATCATGTAATTAACTTCGACTTGGCCTAACGATGGACACCTTTCGACAGGTCTCTTGAGGGACATAAGTCGAACAAAAAAAAAGAGATATATAAGGACTCTTCCTGATGACGGATATTTGAGACAGTTCTTGAGGGAAGTTAGTCTAGAGAAAATCCCAATAAGATTTTTTATTTTATTTGTAGGTAGTGTAGTAACTCCCCTTGGTTTTTCTTTGGGCCACGGTTCTTTTCCAAGGGTTTAGCTTGAACCGGGTGTAGGTAGTTTTTGTTTATTTTGTTTTTTAGTTTTAGTTAGCATCGATGGGCTAAGAGCTAGAATAGAAAGAGAATCCTTTGGCGTTAGTACACCTGAACACAATCGATACTAGAGTGTAACGCCTAGTCTCAATGGTTGACTCTTGCTAAAGTGCCTTAAAGTTTTATGTTTGTAGTTGACTTGAACGCTCAAAAGAGAATGTCTTGATAAATCAATCCGGAGTGAGTTATATGCCATATGTGTGAGAGCTATACTATACTATATTTCATGCTTTATGTTTGATGCCTAGAACTTGTCATGTGTGTTTGCAAAGCGAAATAGTAGATTCATTCAGTCTTAGAAGTGATATAGGCATTTCTTTCTTAAGCCAGATATATATAATGTAAACTCACCTGAATGTAATACATCTTAGTTAACCCCATTGAGCCTATAAGCTTGTTTCTTTGGCAACCACATTGCGATCCTTACCCAATTGTTTGAATAGCCTTCTGTTTGAACCCTTTTACCTCCCAGGAGCACTTGAATGGCCTTGACATATGCAAAAGTTAAAGTGTGGGGTGGTGGTTTGATTTTGAGTGGAGCCAATGAAATAGAGGAAAGGTGCAGTTTTGAAGAATAAAAGAAGACGTGCCACAAAAAAATAATAAATAAATATAGTAGTTGATAAATGGTAGCTTGAGGCAAATGCACCTAAAGGAATGGGTTGTTATAAATGAATTGTGGGGAATGTCTGGTTGACATAAGAATGATATGGAATGTTAATGTGTTGTGTATTAAAAGTGCTTAGGAAGGCTAGTCACTATATCCAAATATATCCTACCGATCCCTTAGCCTATATTACAACCAAATGAAGTCCTAATTGATCTTAGACTAGATAGGCTCTATTAGTCGAGTACTAGACTAAGGGCAAGCCTATGGTGCATTTTTGTGGCATGTGAATGTTCTTTTGGAGAGTGAGCGAATTTTGTCCATTTGAGTTCCTAAGTGTTTGTATCATATTAATTGTGGAACTACTCTCTTGTGTGATGTGAGGGCATGTGAATCATAAAGGAAAGGTAAGTCTTGACTTCTGTATAGAGTAGTTTGAGTAAGTGCGAATATTGCATGGTACGAGAGATTCGACTGTTGAGGCAAGGGTTTTTCACTACTAGGTGAAACTTTGGTAAATTGTTCAAGGTGTGAGTCGTTAAGGGAAAAGCTTAGGCAAGGGAACTTTGATAGAGTGTGGTGGATTTCTAGAGGACTAGCAATGATTTAAGTGTTGATATTAGACTATATAGATGATATTTACACCTTAATATTACCATGCTTTACTGTTGTTTTATAGGCAAATTGATAACAAAATATTCTAAATGGTGTTCTTTTGCTTCGCATGGAATAATCTAAGTGAGGAAGCACTACAGAGTATTTTGGAGTAAATAATGTAAAGAAAACGCCCAACCAAGAAGTACCCGAGCCTAAAGAAGCAAAAATGGACTGAGTGAATTCTACCGCGACCGCGGTGGAACCGCGGTAGATCAAGTACTCGAGGCAGAATAATCAGCGTTCACCGGGGTCGAGCCGCTGTCTTGCCTTGACCGCGGTGAATTGTTCACGTACCAGAAATTTGGGGACCAAAGTGTAACTCGAAGAAAACTTGTTCCAAACCCTTATAAACTTTAGAAGCTCGCCCAAAACATGGGGAAGCTTGTTTTTAAACTAATTTGGAGGCAAGAATAAGTGTGAAAAGAGTAACAAAACATTAGAGTTCTTCTATCTTCTCTTTATTATTGCAGTTACCCATCATGAATAATTTAGTAGTTTTATTTTGTTTTGTCATGCGTAGCTAATTTTCTAGTCTAGGGTTTTGATGGAACCTATTGAAGGATGAACTTCTTGTTATGTTAATATAGTTTGCCCAGTTTAATCTCTATTTGCTCAACTACGTTCTTGTTGTAGTTAATTGATAGGATCCTTAATTAGCTGTGCCTATTTAGTATGCATAACTCGGGAGAGAGTGCATATTTAGGTAATTATTGAACAACACCACTCCCAAAGTATATGAGGGATCAATAACTGAGGGTTTAAAGGCGGGATTAGGGATAACGAAGCCCTGGGTGCAATCTAAAGTGAGCTGTAATAAATAAAGCCAGCTAGCGTAACTCGGGAGAGTGCGTCTAGTAAATTGTCGTGATTACTCGGAAGAGATTTACGGTAATAAGAGTGCTCATAATTGATAGAGACTATTTGGTGAATCTATGTGAAATATAACCGGAAGGGATTCCATCAATAGGGAAATCATAACCTTAGAACCTTCTCTGAATTATTTACAACTTAATCATAGTTAGTTTTCATTTGCTAATTTACTTTCATTATTAGTTAGTAGAAATACCCTCAATTGTTATTTACAATGTATAGGAAGTTGATTCCGTAGAATTTAGTAAGTCTAACAAAAGTAATTGATAGGTTAATTCCTTGTGGGTTCGACTCTGGGCTAAATACTCAAATTATATTTGCAACGTCCACATATCCTCTTTATAAGGCATAGTTGGGCGAGATCAGGTCATAATAAGGTAGGAGGAGCAATTGATTTTTATCGATACTTTTTTTTTTTTTTAAAAGGATGTAGGCAACAGAATTTTATGTCAGTGTTGACTTGCCTATATTATTGTTAGTATGATATGAATAGGCATTGACATTTTTTTTATAAATGAGACTAATAACTCTCATAGTTTTTTTTTCGTCTAGCTCGATCCAATTTAACAAAAAAATCTCATAAATCCATGAAATTTTTATCCACAACTAGTTTATGATAAATTTAGTTCAATTACACAAGTAGAGTCCTAAAAAAATAATATATACGTAGCTTTATCATACCTTTTGATGGTAGAGAGCACGTTTGCGAACCAAAATTAAGAACTTACACTACTAGAATTCCAGAAAAAAGCAATTAAAGTTGGTCGCTAAAATGGCGAAAATAATAAAATAATTACTTGATATACATTAGCGACCAAGGTTGGTCGCTACTTGGTCGCTAATTTTGTCAAAATATTGACCGGACTGGTCAGACTTGCTTGGTCAAAGGTATACTGAGATTAGCGACCAACGTTGGTCGCTACAGGGGGACCCACTTATATAATTATAATATTATTTTAAAAAAATTATAAAATATAAATAAATATAATTTAAAATTAGCGACCAAAGTTGGTCGCTAATTAAGGGGTAAGCAGATAGCGACCAACTTTAGTCGCTAAAATGGGACCCAATTATAAAATTTTAATAATTATTTAAAAAATTTTATAAAATATAAAAAAATNGTTTAACAATTATATTATTATTTTAAATATTATATAAAATATAAATAAATCTGATTTAAATTTAGCAACCAACTTTGGTCGCTAATTTAAATTTATGTATATTTAGCGGCCAAAGTTGGTCTCTTTTCAGGTCAACAATGGTCAAAATTTAAAAACATTTTTGTATTTACTATCTAAATAATATAAATGTAACCCGCTAACACTTTTGTAATACAAAGGATGAATAGACTAAAATATATTCTAACATGCTATATATGCAGTTAAGCAGTACTACGAAGCGTGTGTGTGTGTGTCTATATATATATATGAAGCGCTCGGAACACAGGGACAGGTTCTTTTAGGTATTGATACACTTGTAATTTGATTCATCGACTTATAACCTATATATATATAAAAGCTATATTCC